AGCTACAAACAAATCTGAATTGTTCAGGGGAAATGCCTATAATTTGTCTCTTAAAAGTGACATCTTGAAGTCTAATTATTGTTCTCTATCAAATCACCATAAAAACAACATTAAAGCCTCACACCAGGAATAATTGGTACTTTTGGCTCTCTGGTGAGTTGCACCTTTTTATTTATATAATACAAATGTGATCCTGCCAACTGACAGAGAAGAGCAGCAGCTATTAGGATAGCAAAGATTTATTCAGGGAAACTATTTCCTTGTTATTCAGGAAGCTTAGGTCAGCTCTGTCCCCGTCTGCTGACCCATATCCAAACTACAACCCTTAACCAACCAAGAGTCTTCCAAGTAGCTAATCAAAAGTCCTTGTAAAATTATTTTAAGATTTCATAAATAATTCAGGACTATATTTTACATACAAATTGCCTCTTCCTCCAAAGCGAATTACGAAAATAATTTTTAAAAAGAAAAAAGCAAACAAACAAACCAGGGGAGACATTTAAAAGTAAAAAACTGTAAAATAGGAGTCTAGTAACCATTTAAAATGCGCTGAATAGTTTAATTGTACAGCAAACAAACAGGGTATGAATCAATGCAGGGGCCTGGGTAATGTAGCTGATACATTCTAAGCCTAAATAGCAATAGTTCAGTATCCCAAAAATGAATTAGCACCTGAGTAATCAGTCACATGCAGCCCTTTTTATAACACAGAATACAATTATAAAACAATTACTTATTTGCAAACATCTCTATTTAGTTTTCCTAGAACCCTGCTTCTTTTCAAGTTCAATTACTTAGCTTCTTTGTCACATGCACTTTTTTTATCTCCATTATACCACATATTAAAAAAAAAATCTCAGAATGTGGAATTTCTGCATGTTGACCTCAAAATAAACTCGTTGACATTACAGTATCAACACCACATGCTAAAGCCTGAAATCCAAAAGGCCAGTAGAAAAGTGGAGCTGAATTTAAGTCAGTGCTACTTGCCTCCAATAACCAAAAAGGTGGAGAATTCAAAAGTAGTCCTTTTTAATTTACCATTAAAAAAAGTTACTGCCTGGCAGTACTGGTTTGTATAGAACCCAGAATGCATTAGTAACATAATGCTACTAATTCATAAAAATATTGTTTATGGGGGTCTCCGCCAACCAGGTCAGCGGTGGCATTCAACATGTAAGCTTTGATCTTAACTCGGTTTAACTTGAGCTTTGCAGCACTCCTCTAAATTATGTCCTTTGGGGAAAGAAGGTTGCTGCATGACATTAGCTTTCACTGCTCAGTGACCTGAGAGAAACACATGGGAGAGTTGCAGCAGGCAACTCTAGCACTTCGCCTGGAGTGAGGAGGAATTGCTGAAGAAAACACAAGGTTTGGGGAATTTCAGCAGCGAAGGGAGGGTGTAAATTCAATGAACAGTTCTTGCATCAACTCGTTATTAAAGCATGGTTCATTTTTCCTCCACTCTTAAGAGTAAGTGTTTTTTATTATTATTATTATTACTTGGGCTTTTACAGGCACTAAACTACAATAAGGTAGATGGTAGGAAAAGCCAACAAATGAAATTAGAAATAAAAGAGTGAGACAGAGGCAAATGTTAAGGGTCAATTCTTTCTGTAAGTTATAACAGTATTGTCCTACAAAGCATATGAGATTGGAGTTGTATAAATGACAATGTCGCCTACAGGTGAAACTGTCAAGCCCATTGCAAGCCAGAGCGAAGTAACCAGTGCCTTAATGATGAGAGGCAAGGTTCTTTGAGTGGATGCAATATCTTTTATTAGACCAAGTGAGTACTTGGAAAAAGAAAGTTCTCAGCAAGCTTTTGGGTGCAATCAATCTTCTTCAGGCATAGTGTCTCTCTGCTATTCTGAGACTCCAAAGAACGAGAGAAGCTTTGGGAATGAGAAGTTTTGGGATGCATCTCATCCCAAAACTTAATGATGTGAGGTATACACGTACAACACAAAACATTTACAGTAAAGCAATTACAATATTTTGCGACTTCACAGACTAGGAATCCCAGACTGCAAGGACTACCAACTGCCCTTTTACCATTACAGTGGAGTCGCATCACATGCGCATTTAACTTATGCGAATTCATCATATGCGTATGCCCTAGAGTGCCGATTGTTTGGATTCAGCCTGTAGCTGCCCCCCGCAGCGCAGTGCACGGGGCCAAGCAGCTACACTGGGAGCAGCCCTGCTGTGAAGCTGCGCACGCTGGCCGAGCGGGAGTTTGGTGCTGGCTGCCCCGGGCCAGAAGGAGGGACTGCACCACTGGATGGGGAAGGGAGCGGACTGTACCACTGGGCAAGCCCAAGGGTAATTCTGACTATATGCGATTTTTGCCTTACGCACTGACTTTAGAACCTAGCCCCCGTGTAAGATGCGACTCCGCTGTACCTGCCTTTGCTGCCCTAAATACAAAGAAATCCTAGGTTCCATGACAACATAAAATTGTAAAGCTGTTGGCACACCACTTTTTAGGCAGAAGTCTGTGTACTAAATTGATCCGGTTCATTCTTCCTTTCACATCCATTTCTGTCCTTCAACTGCTACAAATAACAGACAAAATTTAAGTCACGATATGACTGGAACCAGTTGTTACTCACTCAGTTCTCTGCCACCCTTTGAGGAGTCCTTACTATAACTATCCTCCCAGCTACATATAATAATGTTTTTAGCTTATAGCAAATTTATGTTGCATTTATTCAGAATATTATTTAAATTACCCAATGCTACTTAAGAAGATGGAAAAGGAACCTGCTACCAAAAATCAACGGCCACATTTACCAACTTATGAAAATTCTTTCAAATCTCATAAGAACATTTTAGATATTGCATATTACTAAAAAACCCCAATTTGATGTAAATAATGGGAAGTATTTCACAGTAGTTTATGAGAAAGGACTGATTTTTTAAGGCCGTCTTGTTTGATACTTCATTTGCTTATTTCACAAGGTGATAAAAGAAAATTCAGTGGAGCTACACATAATGAACCATTTTATTTAACAAGGATTAGACTCACATACTTGGGATATAACAAATTCAGTAGGTATATTTTAAAAATATACAGTGACCGTATAAACAGTCAAGTATAAAAATAGCACCACTTCTAAACAAAATCAAAACTAGCTTGGTGCAGTTAGAATTCCGTAATAGGAGAATAAACTGTAAAAAATTAAATCTACACAAGCATCCTTAAAATGAAGAATGTGGAATTTATGATTTCTGAATCTTTTCAAAATATCCATAAATTATGAGACTTTTCCAGAAAGCCTCTCTAACAAGGTTAAAGAGGTTTTCATATTTACAGGGAATATGAAGAAGCTATACTATCACATAAATATAAAAACATTTGTCATCAAGACCAGAGATCTTTTAAACAGTTTGATTTCCTGCATCATTCCATCTCAAGAGCTTTGCCATATTTAAATAGAAAGGATCACAATTAGAGAAAATGTATACATAATTTATTGTTTTCAACTGAAACACACAAGATAGTCATGGGAAAACATAACAAAAGCAAATAACCGACAGTATAAAAACCCTGTTACTACAGTTTGTCAATGGAATTACTTCCAGGCACTTCTGTAACTTTCTAACAATAACCAACACTAAATCGCTTATTTAAACTCACTTCAGCAATTTTAATTCTCTAAAAAATTAATTATGCTTTTAAATCTCCTGAAGGGAGTTGTCATTCATTTTTAACTAGTATATTTTCATTAGTGTAAGCAGGGCTCCCAATGAAAAATAAACATCTCAAATCACATCACTGAATGCTGCAAGCAGATAAGTATCATCAGGCCAGAAAAGACCTCTTAAAAACAGAATTTTTTTTTTTTAAAGAAGTACCTATACACCCAAGTTACTTAAATTAACAAGTTCAAGAGGGAATAAATAAACTGTCTATTTAACTGCTAACTACAGGGATTATAAAAAAGAAACCCACATTGTTCTTTTAACCTTTCTAAAAGGCACCAGGATCCTGGCATAGATCTATACAATCTAGGACTCCTTCCTGATTCATGTTAAGAGATAACCCAGCATACAGACACTGATCCAGTCCAGTGTCAAACCAATCCATTTGTGCAAGTCACAGAAAGCAGTACACCAGAGGCAATGAAAACAGCTATCAACAATTTAAGCCACAGGTCAGGATACGCAAAAAAGGGTTTGAATGAGGAATGTCATACCCAATCCAAATAGACTTTAGCACTTAAAAGAACTGACATCACACTCTTCAAAACAAATATAAAAAATGTAAATGAAACAACCTTAGGGCTATTTTTTTACATCGCCAGCTTTCATCAGGGCCTTAATAGCTCTGGCCCTCATCTCAAGCTCCAGAAGCTCCAGCTGCTGTGCTGATGGCTGAACATCTTCTGATGGAGGAACGGCCAAGGATGCTGTTTTAGACTCCTTTGGGCTGGATTCTGCCAACCCCAGTATCTCATTCACACTTTTCTCAATGTCCTTCTGAAGGTCATCTATCTGACCAGCTCCACTTCTGACAGCAGTTTCTGGCACATGTGGACTCTCCTCTTCATTGCATGGGCCTTCTATGTCACTATCATATGCATCCGCATTTATACTGAGGACATCACTATCTTCTCCTTTGGCTGTAACACAAATATAACAAATAACCACATACTGCAGGAATCCTAACAAAAAAAAATCCCTTTCATCTTAGAAATTGCCTCTGCATAAAAGCGATTCTCTGCACAGAGTATGAGAAAAAGCATCCATAAATTAAAGACAACTATTTTTTCTTTTTTTCCCTCCCCCAACTTTAAGGCTGATCTAATTTAGACAAGTTTTAATGCATTTTTTATTCCAATTTAGAAGAACATGCAGTATACCAAGGCAGCAGTGCCTGGAAAATTTATTCCATCATATGGAGTTACATGATCTATTTTCCTAATTAAAATGTCATAAGGTTTTATATCACAATGAGGCTTCTGCATTACAGATTGAAAGTTGATATGGAGAACCTCAGATTGATTATTGTTTATTATTTTAAAAGCAAATTTAATATTCAAAGTGTATGGTTTTAAAAAATACTTTAAGATTCCTTTGAAATTTATGAAGTAATACCACCATAGCCAATCAGGATATCAGAAATCACAGGTTACAAGTATTCAGTTTTTTCACTGACCTGAACTAAATATAGCTGAAATATTTGAACAACTTAGGAAAGAAATGTTGGTGATGGCTTTTAAATTTCCGTTAGAAGTAGGGTTTTATTAGGAAAAGTAATTAGAAATGGCAGTACAATGGAATAAAACTATAGCAAAACCTCCACAAGAGACACTGACAATCTGGCTGTAAATAAACTATTTCTCTTAACAGTCTCACCTGAGCAATTACCAGTACTTGGGCAATATTTGTATCTTTGGAGACACTAATAGCATTGTTTATTGCTTAAAATGAACCAATTATTTATAGCAACAAAAAGACAAAATTACCAATTTGGTCGATTTTATAGAAGCTTCTAGTAGCATGACTATAGAAAAGTTAAACCTGGATCTCCACGTAATTCACAAAACCCTTTTCACCATGCACTGAAGTTCTAAAGCAAATTTACACTGACACACAGTAGCTTTATGTATTACATTATGGTATCAACTGGATAGCACAACAGTATCTACACACCAAAACTACCAGGGGAGGTTATAAATACCTGTATATCAGTACAATATTAATTACATCTCTTTTAACTTTTTAAACTAGTCTTTTGTCATCAGATTTACTTTTTTTTTCATCTTAGTGGTCTGCTTTTAAAGTATTACTAGTTTTATCCATCCATTCCTTAGCTCCAGAATCTCAAATCTCCAGGGCTAGGAGTTTTATTGATCAGTACTCCTCATCAACAACAAAGCCACTGATATACTGGAAACCAATGAAGTACTTCCTTCGTGAATTGCTGCTTTTAGATACCTGGCAATTCAGGTGTTACTGAAGTTCAGGTTATAAATATGTAGGGCCCTGCCAAATTCACAGCAGAAGACACATGTATTGCAGCTCCTTTGATTTTGCAGGTTCCCCCATGCATCTGTCCACCGCCAACTGTTGGGGGTGGCCCACCTGCAGCTCACTTCTGATCAGCAAGGAGGTAAAAACCATGGTTTTAAACACGGTGCCATTTTTGCTTCCTGCTGCTGACTGACTATAGGGCCCCAGTGACCCTGCTGTTTGCTGTTTACTGTCTGGGAGGCAAAACCATGGTTTTCGCTTCCTTGTTGGTCATGAACAAGCCACAAGCAGGGCCTCTCCAATCAGCAACAGAGCGGAGTGCATGGGGGAACCTGCAAGGTTAAGGGAGCCACAGTGCATGCCACTTCTACCATGAATTCGGTAGGGCCCTATAAATATGACATTGATAATGTAGCCTAACAGCAGGGAGCCAAAGTCCAAATACCTTGAACTAACTGTCTTCACATCACTGTATTTTTTGACAACATATTCACATTTCAGAACAGATTGTATTCATGATTCATCTAAATATTAATGAGAACACTCCAACAAGAGCTTGAGTTTTAGTCACAACATCAACAATTCCTTTCCCTCTTCAAAAATGTACATTAAAGAATCTTTGGAAGGAGGTTTGTTTTAAGCCACTGTTATGTTTGCCTTTGGTTGTACAGCATATTTCAAGAAAAAAAACTATGCAAGACAGAAGAGAGAACTGCAACACTCTCTGTACACATATTGAGCCATTTCCTCCTCTGGATCTCTGTAGAAAAGTCCTTGCATTCTATGGAGGTTCTGCACAAAGATTTGGTAGGATATGAACCACCAAATTATACTGACCCAGTTCCAAAACAAGCTCTAAACGAACTTTGTCAGTATTCAGTTTTTCCTTTAAAGGGAAAGAGAAGTATGCTTAAAAGTATTCACCTAGAATAAAATACTTTTTGGTGTCTGGGGGAGTGTGCACACATATGCACTTATTGTTCACTTATGAACAAGGATGAAAAAAATCTTTAAGAAAAACACATTTTTCTTGGCTTTTATGACATAACTGGTATGCTGAGGGGGTAAGAAAAAAATAAAATCAATACTGAACACTAAGATATATAATAAATATGCTTTCCCTACTTATAAATCAAAAAAAACCCAAAAATGAGGAATGGGATTCCTTCAGACTACTTCCGCAACAAAAATGTTGTTTTGTAAACAATAGAGGCATTTTGAAAAGACAGTCAACTGAGTTTTTACTTATTCTAAACAAACAAACAAAAAATCCCAAGCCTTAGTACGGAGTTCAAAAGAAATGCTCAATTTTGATTTCAGGCCATGATACAGGACAGCACTGATCTCCTACTCAGAAGTACTATGTGTAATTCTGAACAGGGATGTTTTCCTGAATTTGGGGGCTCATACCAGATATCCCTCATGCTCTAAAATATCAGCAACCAATTATGAATGCAATATGTAGAATTTCTGGTCCATGGTGTTAAACAAATCATGACTTAAAGTATAAGCATTGCTTTATTGGGGGTCAACGTACATACACATTATTTTTAATTCTATTCAAAATTTGCCATCTTCAGAGCCCCCTACACAGAAGCACTACATAGTATTTCCCTTTCTCTAAATGCCACCTTATGCACAGCAACTTGAGCATCTGTATTTTCAACAACAGCTGTAGTCTGGAGGTACTGCCTACAGAAAGAACCTTGCAGACAATTTTACTGACTCAAACTTGTCAGAAACCAAGTATATGGAAGATCAAAAGAGATGAGAAGTAGTAGGATTAACAAATGGAAATTCTTTTGTCTTGCTACGGGGCACCACGCCGTATTTACTTAAGACATTGCTCAACTGGGCAGCATTTTCATGGAACAAAAAAAAAAAAGCTACATTGAAAGAATCTGGTGCAAAGTTAACTCCCTATTTACAGACAAAGAGAAACATAATTCAACTGGAACTCACGAGATACTGGGAAAAAAAAGTTCTGGAGATCTGTTCTTCATCCCTGTCCCACCATTTGCACAGAACAGGAAGCTACCCAGCATGCAAAGGTGTTGCTCGCAAGATTTGGGTTCCATCCAGAATTTAGATTCTCCGTGGCAGCACAATGCATAATAATCATACAACCCCACTGGCCTACAAATGTTGTTTAATTAGCTGATGAGCTTCATTTCCCTCTTTTCTAGTTGTAATTTTACATAGTAATAAAAGTCTTGGATGGCATTTTTCTCATTATCTTTTTCATTTTGATAACTTGTACTTATTCCTTCAGCTATGACTGTAAAATTCATGTCTGCACACTTAATTTCTTTTTTAACCATATTTTGCTCACTTCTGCTTACCCCCTCCTTTTCGACCTTTTTTCCTTTAGCATCACAGGCTCCAGCACAGAAGAAGAATGATTACTAAGTTATATTTTACAATTTATGCCCATATTCTCAAAAGCTCTTTAAAGCTAACATCTTGAGTGGAGCTGCTGTCATAGCCCAAAGCCATCATGATACTGTGGTTGATAAAGTCATAAAAAAGGACAATGAAGCAATCACCTGCAAGTCATCAATTCCCTGTGATAATACAGAAGAAGTGGAAGAGGTCTGCAGGAAATCTGTCAATTCCGAGGTCACTCCATATAGTGCAACAAGCAACATTTAAAGCATTTCTCACAAAGTCATGGCATACTGCTCCTAACAATTTTGCTGGTTTTATGATGACATTCCTCCCTCCCTGACTATTTAATTCCTCTCACTAGCTACTTCAAAAATATGCAAAGCTGTTCAAAGATGACAAGACTCAGGACTGAAAAATAAAAGTTGCAGGGAGAAAATAATATTAGATCCTCATGAAACAGGAATACAGCTTATCAGAATTTGAAGCATTTACTGACTGCAAAAGCTATTTCTGACATTACTATTACTATGTCCAGCAAATCTAAATAAGAATAAACAGGCCAAGATAGAAACAGCTATAATACCAGTGCAATGTATAAAATACTGGAAGTAGTTAGTGTTCAGGCAATGGCTGAACTAAAACAGTTGTTGCAGTGCTTCCTACACAGAAGTCAAATCTATATTATTAATACTACATTTACTCAAATCCAAGATGAGATTCCCCCCCCCATTCAACATGAGGGGGAAAAAAGAATGGTCTTGGACTCAATTACTGGCCTGGGTCAGGTGACTGCAGCCCTGGCTCCAACCTGGGACTGGTCCAGGACTGGAGCCAGAGGTGCCACCAGCCGCAGGTTGGGACCAGAGCTGAGGCCAAGTTCATTGCTGCTTGGAGTCAACAGTGTGATGTCAACAGAAGCTGTAGTCAGTCGAGGTCCATAGACAGCATCAAACGGCTGGAGCTGCTGCTGCTGCTACTACCTGGCCGGGGCTGGGGCCAGGGCCAGATTCACCATGCACTCTGTGCCCTGGGCTGGTGCTGAAGCTGCCATATAGGGTAATTGATAATGGGCACAGAGAGATGAACACATACCCTGGTTTAATTTATACTGGTTTTGTATACATCAATATAATGTCGAAATGATCAAAGACCCTCTTCATCTAGGATAGCTTTATGTTTTCGTCCCCTACTACTATATTAATTTCTCTCCAAGCTAAGCTACTAAGCACTAAAGGACTACAGCTTCCCTAGGTACAAAGCAGTTCCAGTGCTGCAGATTTGAGGGGTTTAAGCTCCTAACAGAAGTGTCTTCTACTGATCAGGATAGAGGTATGAGTAAAAATTGGGAATTAGGGATGTAGACCCTTTGGATCAGCTAGCCACCCCTGAAGAAAGCAAGCAATTATTTTGCGTATAACATGGCCGAGGAGAGAGCACAGACATAACTGGGAAATTCTGCATGCTGGGCTATAGCAACACCATCTTGCTTTGAGCAGGGGGCTGGACTAGATGTCCTTTTAAGGTGTCTTCCAACCCTCATTTTCTATGATTCTATCGCACACAGGGTAGCTACTACAGCAGCTGATATTTTTTAATCCTTTCTAGCTCTCCTCCACTGCCCCTGCCAAAGTCAGCACTAGGGACAAGTGCCTCAGTCACCTCCACTTAGTTACACTAAGAAGAGATTATAAAAAGACTCTTTGGGAGTCAGAGGCAAATGCCTAAGGGAAGCCAAGGTTCTACACTCAGGTGCTAAAAACTGCACAAACCCAGGCTGAGGGCACAGTCCCAACTTTTGGGGTTTTTTTGTTTTTTTTTTTAAGGAATCGTACTTTTGCTTATAACAACTTGTTTAATTTATGGACATAAAGATCTGTTCCTGCTTATAAACGTTTGCTTAATTATTTTGTCAAGTCCCCCCACTACTTTATAATGGACTTGTAGTATGTTTCTGAACAGTTCCTTTTATGTTATTAGGACTTTAAATTCTAGAGGAATTAGGAAGAGCAATCAATGTTTCTATAACAGATTAGGAAAACCTCTGACTGCTGCAAATGCTCATCATATTGAATGCCTCTGAGTAGCAAAGTGGAAATATGCTAGCACAATAAGAGTACTTGTTTATGGATTTGTATTTTTGTACTCCATAAAAAAGTTTAAAGTATAAACAAGGAGAACTAGAGACTGCTCTTTTGATGCATCACTAGCATGATCCTACTGTATACGAAAATTACAAATTATCTTCTGTGACTTTGCATTACTATAGGCATCTGAGCAAAGAGAACTAAAAAGTGTGTCCAGGTATGTTGAGAGGAAGAGAGAGAAGGAGGTGGAATGACAAAACTAAGTGCTTTCCATGAATGTATATTTCAGCATGAAAGCTGCAAAACCTCTCAATGTATAAGCCTGACATTCAGAAGTCTTGACAAGGTGTTGTCCCCAATGCAGCATCAACGAAAGAGCTGATCGCTCAATCATTTTGAAGTTTAGATGCATGATCTGGAGTGAGGGTTCACTCAAAAAGAAAAAAAAAAAATCTTCTTGGCCTCATTTCTATACTACCCAATGCCTCATTTTTATGACACAGATGTCCCGAGTCATTTGAACCTACTGAGGAGACATAATTGTAGTTATCCCTAAAGTTCAATAATAAGCCTGAATACTTTAAATCACTTGCTTCCTCACACTAATGGTGCAAGACTTCAGCTTTCTGATCCGTACCTTGTTTTGATTCCAGGCCTTCCAGCTTGTTGTCTTCCTTCAGATAAGAAGTAGAATCTATGCTGTTGTCTTGTCTAGAAACAAATGAGAACAATTTACTTTGTAGAGTTTAAAAAAATAAAGACAATTTGTTGAAAGAAGTGTTTCCTTTCTGTCAAATAATAGCACTTGTTGACAGCCTGACATACCAGTTTCTTTCTAGGGGGGCCAGGGGAAGCCGATAGGGCTTTACATGTATTTTTACTACTATTCTAAACAATTAAGAACCATTGCATTTTTCTGCTTTGCCTAGTGATATACTTGGCCAAAGA